TGTGTGTGTGTGTGTGTGTGTGTGTGTGTGTGTGTGTGTGTGTGTGTGTGCGTGCGTGGTGGGCAGGCCTGCAGTTGATGTCACGTGTTCGTGTTCATGTCCCATAAACTGCAGCCTGTTTTATGTTCACATATTACAACGAATCTCATCTAATTCACTCTCTTTTTGATCTTTCCACCTTTTTATAAATATTTCCTTCTAATATTACTTTCTCTACTCCCTCGCTCTCTCTCGTCCTCCCTTGTGTGTGTACATATCTGTATTGCCATCATTGTTTTCCCTCATGTTGTGCCTCATTCAACTTTACTCAGGCAGAAAATCATAGCCCATACACAGAAACACGCACACACACAGTTTGCCATTCCAGAGAAAACCAAGGAAACCACTTCGTCTCCTCCCTACCTTACACACCCAGCCACCTCTCACACAAACACAGCTAATAAACAGTTATTTAAAAGAAAACAAGAATTCATGAACATTAGTATTTTATTGGCTTTCCTTGCATCCTATAATGAGACTGACCTGTTTGACTCGGTCCGGGTTGACGGTGGTCTGCGGCTGCAGGATGCTCACCGGCTCTGTCTTCTGGGTGCTCTGAGGCATCTCCCTCACCTTCTCAGCGATGAAGTCATGGACACCATTCAGTGCCTCCACAGTCCCCTGGATCAGACACACACGCTCTGTTGTGCCTACATAAACACACACAAACACACACACGGATGGGTCAGTGTGTGAGCTTAAACTGGTGGCTAGTGGTATCGTGATCATCATTTCAAGCAAAGATAAATAATAATCATCACTTGTCACGACATGAAACCATTCAGATGAGTACTTTTAATCACTTGAGTACTTTTATGAATCAGCGTGCTGTGCAAGCCTGTAAAGCAGGGTGGCAGCAGCACACCACAGCTGAGCGCTACTGCAAGAAACATGCAGAAGAAGACGGCAATCCTTATAATTTAGTCAGCAGTTATTTCTATCAATGTGATTCCTATATTTACAAGATCTTTTCGAAATTATGACTGACTGTATCCCAGCTTTTTTCTCAGCATTTCAGAGAGGTTTCTGCAGCTTGGTGGGAAAGCACAGAGAGCAGGTAGAGGTTTGATGTAACGCAGCTCTCTCAGTTTAACTTGAACGTTCAGAATTTTCTGTTTTCATCTTCTTTATGCTGCTGAATAGAAATAAAACCAGCCATGGCACATGCTTCTATTCAAAAAATAACAACTGTGAGATAAGAAAAGATCGCAGGAAACTGTAATGATCCCCACTGGGAAATAACACTGCAGCAGCGGGAAATAGCAACAAAGAGACAGAGGGGGTGAAAACACCAACTATCAAGAAATAGAACAAAAGATCGAAGTGGAGAAAAATGAACTTTGTATAGGTGCTGTTAAAAAACACAACAGAAAACCTAATTACAAACTTGTAATTACACAAATAACAAATGAAAGTATTGATTTAATACATCGTGCGTTTGTATATTTGCCAGGGAGAGAGAAAGCTGTTCGGAGTCAAAGCTAATTAGCCGCAGTGTCCACGAAAGCTAGTAAAACATGATATTCTTCACCTCACAGAAAACATCAGGGTTCATATTTCCTCTCTCCTTCTTATGAACATATCGGCATCGCTCAGTTTATGTCTGTTTCCAGGATTTCGTCCAATCAGGAAATTAATCCCCAGGGCACAAGAAAAAAAATCAAACATGCTGTAATAATTTCCAAGCTTCTGCTTCAGTGTGTACACCACATGTGTGTGTGTGTGCATTAAAACTGTGCATCGGCTCCAAATAAGCTGGACAAAGTACATCACGCAGAGCTGTGGATGCACGGGGGATTCGCCCTCCACTACTTCAGCAGGAGAAGAAAATCAAAATGCAGCTTTTAGCTTCAGTTTAATGATGTTTGCATCTGCTAAAGATTAGCTGCAGAAATTGTAATAATATACAAAAAACCCACTTATATGGCTTTTGACAGAATCGCAAAGCACAAGTTCAGGATTAATGTCATGGACATTATTACCGTAATGCAATTTTAAAGTGTAAATTAAATTGAAAAGCCTGTACTGAATTACCTCTTCACTGTATTGTTTCTTGATGTAATAAAAGAGGAGTCAATGCGTAAGATTATGATGATTAATAAGACCGGACAAAAAACACAAATTCTATATGACTTTTTCTTCTTTTTTGTAATGAAATCTGATAAAATAATGCAAGCAAAAACTTTTATTAAACTGGAACTCAAGCTCCACGGGGCACAAGATGACCTCATAGCAATGTGCTGGAGGAGCAGAACAATGAAAATCAGATAGGTTTCTGCCTAATGAAAATGCGTACAATTGCTATAATACACGCTGTATGCAGAGAGAAGGGCAGACAGACACAGGGGAGAATCTAGGCCAATGCAAAGCCTCTCAGACCGGCTGCACTTTAACAACGCACTGAAACTAAATCTCTTTCTTTCTGTCATTTACTATCACTCTCTCCTCTTTTTTCTACTTTTTTTGTCCTCACACACACTTTCTTCCTCACTCTCTTCCTCCATCCCTCACTATATCTCCCTTTCTCTATCCCTATTTCGTCACCCTCTCTCATCTCTCTCTTTCCCCCTCCCCCTTGAGTCCAGTACTTAGTAGGATCTGCTCTTATCTCGGCCCAGCAGCGTGTCATTTAGCTCTTCCTGTCCCTTGCCTCTCCCTGCATTGTTGGACCGTCTCGGTTTGGCCCAGCTTGGCCCTGTGTGGCAGCACTGGAGAGGAGGGATTGTGGGTTTTAAACTGCTATATTTGTGCAAGGGTGTTGGGAACTGATGACATATTGCAGAAGCCGAACAAGAGCTTCTTTAGCCAAGAGAGACTGTTTCAGTGCTTTTAGGATTTTGTTTGTAAAATTCTGCACAAGGAAACATTTCTAAAGGGTGAATATGTTAATTAGTGGACAGCCCTCAGATGAAGAGCTGCACATGCAGAATGAAGAGGTTGTGACAACTGACACTAAAAATAAAACACACAGCACATTACGCATTTGCAGAATTTGGCTACCTGGCCTTGCCGAACCTTTGCAATGCCTGTTAGCTTTACAGCGGTATTACTTCCCATTCCTATTTTTACAGTTTGGTGACAGCAGTGACAAACAGCCTCTGATGACAGCAGCTGAACGCTTCAGTTTGAGCGTGACGACAGGCCAACAAATCAAGCTAAACATTGGCAGTTCTCAGTTGTAGCCTCGCGCTACCGTTGTGTTGGTGAACATTTCTTTCTGCTTTTTAGTGAGTATCAGTGAGCGGAGCGGCATGACCATCGGAGTGTGTGTCTGTGTGTGTACGTGTGTGACGATACTGAGGAAACTGGGCCTCGTCTCTCCCTGACAGCTGGTGCCCTCTGGGTAATCTGGACCCGTCCAATCAGAAGCAAGGATTAGCAGGCCATTGTCTTGGCATGAGTGTGCGAGTGTGGGATTGTCTTTATGTGTAGATTGTAAATATGGGTACATGCATGTGTGTGTGTGTGTGAGACTGTAGCAGAAAAGGCCATCCTGTCACTGGAGATCATATTGAAGCTGCTGTACAGCTGTGCTGCACCAACAAAGACCTGCTTAGTCCCATTACAAAAATATTCACACAGAGATCAGTGAATATGCATTTAATAAAAAACACATTGTGCTTTTCATTGCAGGCCAAGCGAATCCCAAAGCACTGCTATAATTTCTTGCACACCTTTTTTCCCCAGACTGGAATCAAGAAATAGTCCCTGAGTCATTTTTGTGTTAACAAAATAAACTTTTTGGTTTTTGTGGGTAATTTCACGTAATCAAGTGTGGCACTCTAATGTATAACAGCACTCTAATCACCATCTTTGCCTAAACATTTTCTGGAAATGACACTCACATTGATTTTCTTTCCTCAGTTTCTAGCATATTGAATTTTAAGAAAAGGATATACGGATTGTTGTCTTTTGAGGCAGTGAATCGAGCTGTGAAGCAAACAGGAAGTAGGCTCATATCTCAGCAACTGTTTCATGCATTGACATTAAACTTGGTGCATAATTTGAAGCAATGGGGTTCATTATCACTGTGACACATTACCACTCATGTAAAGTTATTAAATGTATGCATCCAACAGATATGGAAAAATTAGAGCATCCATTTGGAGTTGTGTTATTTGAACAGTTTTTAGTTTTCTTTCTCTTTGGTCTTCAGCTCCTGAGATAAATTTATGTCTTTGTCTTCTGGTTGTTCCACGATTTTCTCCCAGCCAGTTAATAAATTAGACTGTCAGCAGGTAGTTTGTCTGATGAAAGACTGAGGAGAAACCAAAAGCCGTTCCCACACACTGCTACAGCCCTGAACCACTCTAGACATCACCAAGCAGACGCACATGAAGAAAGCGTACGTCCGACTCGATCAGATCAGAAATTAACCTGCCAGCTCCCTGCTACAAAGTCTGTATGCTATCCGATTAAGCGTGTGTGAGAATCAGCAGGTAATTGTCTGGTGAATTCACAGTGAGGGAACAGGCATCCTGCGTCCTGGCTCCAGCATGCGCTGCTCGGGCAGCTCCCTCGCCTAAACCAAATTGAGTATCTCCAATAGTGACAGTGTATGAGAAGTGAACTGGCTCTCGCCTGCTGTGTGCTACATATGAACAAAGAACAAACATAAGAACAGAAAAGATGATAGAAAGATGATATCCTGACCTTATTTCTCCCAACATTAACCAAAGTTCATGTGCAGACTTTGTGTAATCTAAACTTATGGAGCTTTAAACTTTAAACTGTACACACAGATTTTACCATCTTATCTGGAAGTTGTTATCTCACAAAGCAGGAAGACTGAAAAAAAAAAAATATTTAAAAAAATTTAATTTAGCTGCTAAATGAAGAGACACACGAAAAGGCTGCTGATTATGTTCATGTTTTAAGGGGCCGTTTGTGTTTTAATTATCATGCTCATTCTCGTGTCTCAATGTCTTATTTCCCTGCAGGAAAAGCGCAGACAGTGAGCAACATACAAATGCCAAAACAGCACCAACATAATAGAATTTATGCATCCCTCAGAGAGCGAGCTCTGTTGGCAGTCAGTTCTACGCCGGTGCAAAAACATCACTATGTGTTTGTGTGTGTGTCTTTGTATATGACTTGAGCATTTCCCCTTGTAAAACGAACTTCATCATTTGACATTTTAACGGCTGGAAGCTTTTTCCAGACTTGACATGCTGCAGCTGCTGAAGTAATATCTGTTCAGTGTTGTTAAACCTTCTGTGTTTACATAATGTTTTAAGGGCATTTCTTAGACACAGAACACAGGGCAGGAAGAAAGACAATAAAGTCCTTATTTATAGCATTGCTATTCACGAGTGTGGACATAGTGAAGTTGTGCTTTCTTACTATGGTTTAAAAACTGCAGGTGCTTTCATGCGGTGTTGTCAGGCCTTGCTGGTAACGTTTTTCACATTGCTGCACGGATAATTGAAACAAGAGCAGTAAAAAGAAACACCAGTTACACTTACAGCAACAACAGCTAGGCAGCACCACTGAAATGCATTTCATAATGAGATAATGTCCCCAAGTTTTGGAAAACGTGAGTGCAAAGATGACAAAAATCAAACATTTATGATTTATGAACAGAGCACAAATAAATAGACCGGAGCAAACTACAAAGGAGTTACAGCCTACGAAACACATCAGAGACACA